GGCATTCAGATGGCTGGAGCATCTCAATTTGGTGAGGACGTCCTGCATCCATTTTCAGGACACTGTGAACAGCTGAATCGAGATCAGAATATAATTGACCTGCAAAAAACCTTCCAGCCTCAATTGCAAAAGCAGAAGAGTCTGCACTATTCAAAACATCATTCCTAGAATATGGATACAAATCAGGATCTGATCCTCTTTTCGAATCTTTGCAGCTACTAGTTTCCCCCTCATAAAGTGCATTGCGGATTATGTCTGTGTCCGCTTGATTCTCGTGTTTAGCATCAGCTAAATCAACAGAAAAGGCATGCTTATGATCCTGATAACTCCCAGACATGGATACTTGGCCAGCTCCATGCCCATGAATTACTTGAACAGCCTTCTCCATATGAAGATATGACAAAGGAGAAGTATTTAAGAAGCTGCCACTTTGTTTACTTGCGTATTGTAACAGACGATTTGGCCCTTCCACATCCACAGCTTTGTCTACTTCTCCTGAGCAATCAGGGAATGCCTCAACACGTAAACATTCTGAAGGTATAGTTGGCTGCAACAAAATTATATAACATATTATGGCCTTACTCAGCATTTCATGTGAAGCCTGAGGAAGTGGTGGAAGAAACTAAAGCACCAGTCTTCCAGTCCATATGTTGCCCAAAACATAAGCAAAAGCCCAGACAAGCATGCAAAAACACATTGGCACAAGGAAGTAAATTACCACAGATGTTGAACTATTCATGCTACATTGCAGTAAGGCAGTCGCGTGGTCTATGAATGGGTCATTAAGCGCCAAAAACAAATGTCTGATACGAGTCACCAAAGTCACATCCTCATCAACCTGCTCCACCATAAATAAGTAAGATAAGACGAGACATTGACATGCATTATGCAATACAGTAGTACTCTCCAAAATCAAAGTTACAACAACAAAGATAACATCTTACTCACTTTGTGTAAAGAACCTAGCTGTACAACTCCACAAGGACCAGCAGCTACCACAAGAATGGTCTGCAGAAGAAGAAATGAAATTTTGTCAAAAGAAGTTCTCAGAAAAGACCTTTTGTCAAAGGAACTTATTGAAAAACAAACATCAGCATGAACAACATACTATCCTAAACAACCATGAATATAGTCTCAATAAACCATCTTGAATTGAAGAAAAGAAAAAAAGGAAACATCAGAGAAAGAAATATGAACACAGACAATGCAGCTATATCAAGTATCATGTGGCTCAAGAACATGGAAAAAATGACGCCAAAACCAACAATTTAGCTAGCCAGTAATGACCGCAATACCCAAATTAGAACTCAAATGGCAAACCCCAAGCCAACCCATCTCTGGGACTGAACATTACATATCAAAGCCTTTTGACCATTTCACACCATGAAAAAAAAAACATACATGACGCTACACCTACAAACTCCAGGATGAACCACTTTCCTTATTCTATCAAGCCTTTCTCACACCCAAAAGCATCTGAATTCTTGTAGAAATAACAATGTTATCCTAGCTAACCAAATAAATAATAAAATTGATGAATATACTAAACTAATGCGGAAAAAATTAATATGCCAAAGAAGTGGAATGTCCAGTAACTTTCAATGAATAGAGCAGAACACAGAGAAAAACTGGAATAAAATCAGATACCTTAATTCCAGCAGAAATTTGACTTCCCCAGATATTCTGAAAAATTGAAGAAAAAACGAAAAGTCTGTTTTAGAAACAAAATAAAATAGAAAGAACAGGCAAAATTTCAACACAAGATGCAAAATTTCTGACCTCATATGCCGAGTAAGAATTGAGAAAATATTCAGGGAAGATCCACTGATGTTGTCCAGAAACAGCAACTTGGCCAACAATCCTGTAACAAATACACATGATGCAAATGAAGATGTTAGAACAATTAAATGAATAAATAATCACATCAACATTTCTAATAAACAATTCAACCCTAGAATATCTGACATCAATACCCACGAAAGGACGAGATTTTGCATCGTGTAGCCAAAGCCAAAGGGGGGAAACAAAAAAAAAAGCAAACAGAAAACTAGAAGAGCCAAATGAAAAACTAAGTGATAAAAGATTAGGTAAAAACTACCAAAGATTTAGTTCTTAGACAACATCACAAAAAAATAGCTGAAGGTATCAAGATAGCAGGGTATCCACAAAGACAATGCGTCAACAAGCAATTGATCCTTACCCTTCCCCTAGAGAATATGCATGATATGACATCTTTGCCACAGCTAATCCAAGGGGGTCATGGGCATAGCGTCCACTATGCAAATTTGTTACCGTGTCATTGCAACTCTTAACCTCCAGAGGTTTACTCTGCTCATCATTGTCATAGTAAGCACCCTCCAAAGTAAATACCCTGAAAGTATTTCACAATTTATAAACGAGAACTCTTATTGGTGTTCCGACCTCGAAAATTACATAGAGAATATATATTATTTTTCAGAATGCACCGAAACTGTCACTCCTTAGAAGCACCAGCTAGAAAATCTTACGATCCAGCATCCAACTTGTGACTACCCCTTCGTTAAAGTTTTTCAAGGGAACTAGGAGATCAACGAATCGATATCATCAACTATGGTATGGTTTGCATCAGCATTCAAGTAAAGTATCTATTCGTAAACATTATTACACAACCAAATCAACAACAACATTCCAAGCAATAAATTATAAGTTGCAGAATAGCAAGAAATGCTCGCACGACTTACATTGGAGAACGATGATTGAGTTTCCAGAAGACGGCATACTTCCATCCTGAGTTGGAGCAGAGGCTCCTCAGTATCTGTTGCAAGGTGGAATCCATCTAAACCCCCCACACGAAATCAAAAACCACTCTAATGGTTTAACTAAATCCGATCTCCAAAAGAAACACTAATCAGGACAGGAAGCTCCCCAACAGAAGCCCCAAACAGGAACCTCCCTCAAAACCCTCCTTTGATTCTTTATCAGTTCGAAGTATCTCTATCCGAAAACTCTAACAATTGAAGAAAATCACTCTCTTTACGCCAGTCCCCAAGAAAACCTTTTGCCTTTGATCACCTAAAACAACCTACTAGCTTCCTCTGTATGATCCTCTTCCCGCTTGTTCCCTTCGCAATCCTGCTCTCGGTTTTATCGGAGGTCCTACTGCTCCCAGAAAAACTTGCCTCGTACCCATCCCTCTCCCAGAACTAGACCAGATTATAGGGAAAAAAAACAGCAGAAACAACTAACCCTAGCTCAAAATCCGCAAAATCACAACTCAAACAGTAGGAAATCGAACCAGAGAGCTAGATCCGCTGCAGACAATCCCTTGTGCTGCCATGAACTTCTCGGCGGAGAAAGGAAGGAGAAGAAGAAGCAACCGGAAACAGAAGTAGACAGAGAGAGAGAGCGATCGGGAATCAATCTACCTTATGTCAGACGACATTGATCCTCTCCCAGAACTGAACTCAGTAGAATCTACAACCACAACCACGTGAACTCGCCAAGAAAACAGAATCTCCACCGAGAAATCTCAGAACGACAGAGAGAGAGAGAGAGAAAGATAGAGAGAAAACGACGAAGACCACTCAAAGAAACATTTCTTTTCTTAAAGAGAGAACTTTGGGCCGTACAGGTGCGAAGCACGCATTCGGCTCATGCTAGAATTGACCGAGGAAAATCGGCTCAACCGTGCGCCGTATGCGCAGAGAAAGGGAGCGCATGTTAACCATAACAGAGAGAGGGTAGTGGAGGGGTGTTTGGCATGGGATTTATGTAGAACGCTTTCCAGGGATAGGATCTCTAATGGCCAGCAGAATGATTCGCCAAGTGAAATTTTGCTTCTTCTTACTTTATTTTCTACTTTTATATGATAATAACAAAAAATATAAAAATAAAAATAAAAATATATTGTCAAAAAAGAATTCATTAATAATGACAATAATAACACAATATATATCATTGCATTTATGTGTACAAATTTTATTGTTGGCATAGTTTTGGTTAGTTTTGAAATATAAAATTCACAATGTTATATTTTTAAACCCTTTGACTCGAACTTTTTTTTATCACTATAAATCTTAAAATTCCAAAACTTTTCAAACGTTTATGTACAAAAAATTGGACTATATATATATATATATATATATATATATATATATATATTGAATATTTCATTTGGCAATAAAAATGTTACAGCACTTGACCTTTATAAAATTGTCCCCACTCTCACACTATATGATGAATATATTTCTTTCTTTTTTCACTTTCTATTGCAAAAATCTTCCAAGAAAGAGGCCTTTCTCCTATTCATTCATTTTGTCCTCCTTACCATAATATCAAAGAATCCAAGAAATAAATTATTATTATATAATAAATTCATGGTATGTAGTGATTTATGGTATATGCAGAGTCATATTTCTATTTGCATTTGAATTCTTGTTTTTTAAAAACTACATTCATATTTAGTAAGAATATTTTACAGTTCGACAATATAGAGTTAGTGTAGGATTGTATCTGCAATCCTGAATTCTGGTTTCTGTTTTTCCGCCTGAGCTGAACTTGGAGAAGCCGCCATACCATTCAGAAGGTTTCACAAGAAAAGACGACGTCGCACTGAGCTTGGCGAGATTAAAATTGACAGGGGCACATGGGTAATTTTGTGGTCACTGTTGGGGTTCTAATAAAACCCAGAGAAACGTAGTTGCTGGGATAAGTTCATTTTCTGTATCCTTAGCAAGAATCCGATCATTCCGATCTCTCTCATCTTGTAATCGTGAAACCCTAAACCTCGAGAAATAAACTGCCCAGATCTTCACCGAGACGTAGGACAAGCACACCGCTTGAATCCGAACTCGTAACTCTCGTGTCTCTCTCTTTCTTGATTTGCATTTGGTTTGCTTGTGTCTGTGTTCTTTGTTTGCAGGTTGTTCGATCTAAGTTCGAAAGCAGATTTCGGCGAAGTAGTGGAGAAGACAGAGGGTGTTTCTTCTACAGGTGGTATCAGAGCCCGGTTGTGGCTAAGGGAAGTTGTGAATCTTGGGTTTTACAGATCAGAACAGTAATGGCTGTGCAGATGCAGAAATTAGATGTTGAACGCTTCGATGGGAAAGGAGATTTCGTTCTTTGGAAAGAAAAAGTTATGATCGGTCTTGAAATCATGGGTTTGTCAGACACCTTAGAGGATGATCCAAGAAACTGGGAACTAGGAGAAGATCTTGAGAAAAGCTCAAGACTGATGCCAGCCGAAATCCTGGCAACTCCAACAGCATCGGTGGTAGGGAGTTCGGTTATTTCAGGAACCACAGCTCAAGAGGATCAAGACTCTGAAAAAGGAGACGACAAGGAAGCAAGAACGAAGCTCTGGAAAACAAGAGCTGAGAGGAGCAGAAGGACTAGAAATTTGATCGTATTGTGTCTTTCTGATCAAATTCTAAGAAGAGTTATCCAAGAAAAGACCGCTTTCGGGATCTGGAATATGCTAGAGAAGCTCTACCTCGAACAATCATTGCCTAATCGAATGTATTTGATGCAGAGACTCTCTGGATTCAAGATGGATGAGTCAAAAACAATCGAAGAAAATCTCGATGTGTTCCAGCGCATGTTATCAGATCTTCAGAACCTCCAAGTCAAAGTAGAGGAAGAATATCAAGCCGTCTACTTGTTGAATTCTTTGCCGCCACCCTATGAACAGCTACGTGAGGTGCTTAAATACTCTAGAACCTCAATAACCCCAGAAGAAGTAAAGGCAGCCGCGAGATCTAAGGAACTCGAGCTGCTGTCACAAGGGAAGGTCTCAAAAGGTACTGTTGAGGGTCTAAGTGTCAGAGGAAGGACTGAAAAAAGAGAGCAAGGTGGACATCGGAAGAAGTCCAGATCAAGGTCGAAGTCAAAATCAAAGACTGAATGTTGGTACTGCGGAAAGAAAGGACATTTTCGAAAGGATTGTCGCTCCAGGAAACGAGATCAGGGTCAACCTCAGGGAGATGGAGGAGAAGTCAGCATAGTTCGATCAGACACATCAAGAACTGGATCCCAGACAATGGAGTTAACAGAGGTGTTGTCTGTGCATGAAAGAAACACCGAGAAGGAATGGATCATGGATTCGGGTTGCTCATATCACATGACACCTCGAAAGGATTGGTTCACATCTCTAGAGCCCTGCAAATTCGGACTCGTGAGCATGGGAAACAACACAACATGTTGGGTTGTTGGAATCGGGAACATAAAGATTGAAACCCATGATGGATCTCAAGTAATGCTGACAAATGTTAGATATATACCACAATTGAGGAGAAATCTGATATCAATGGGAGAATTAGAGGCTCAAGGATGCTGGTACAAGTCTCAAGAAGGTTCTCTGAAAGTGATAAAGGGCTGCAGAGTTGTGCTTAAAGGTCAGCTTAGAGATGGCTTGTATGTGCTGGATGGGAAAACTATAGCTGCAGAAGCTCATCCAGTGAAAGAAGTTGCAGACAACACACACCTATGGCACAGTAGACTCGCCCACATGAGTCAAAAGGGCATTGACATGCTCGCAAGGAAAGGGTTAATCCCACAGAATGAGATCTCAGCACTTGAATTCTGTGAAAACTGCATTTTCGGGAAATCCCACAGGTTGGTCTTTGGCACAGGAAAACATAATGCTAGAGGGATACTGGACTACATTCATTCCGACTTATGGGGATCACCAAATGTGCCAAGCTCAATGTCAAGAAACCAATACTTCATTACCTTCATAGATGATTTCTCTCGGAAGGTGTGGATTTATTTCCTAAAGTCGAAGTCTGAAGCTTTTGACAGGTTCTGCTCATGGAAGACACTAGTGGAAAAACAGACAGGCAAGTGCATTCGGACACTACGGACAGACAACGGGTTGGAGTTTTGCAATCAGAAATTCGACAGTTTTTGCAGCGAAAACGGAATACAAAGGCATAAGACCTGTACCTATACTCCGCAGCAAAACGGAGTTGCGGAAAGGATGAACCGAACTATTATGGAAAAGGTTCGAAGTTGGTTAGCCGAAACAGGACTTCCACAAGTTTTCTGGGCTGAAACTGCAGCAACCAGTGTCTACATAATAAACCGATCTCCCTCTAGTGCTCTCAACTTCGAAGTTCCAGAACAAGTCTGGTCAGGTTCATCCCCAAATTATACACATCTGAAAAGATTTGGAAGTATTGCATACATTCATGCTGATCAAGGGAAGACATTGCCCAGAGCAAAGAAAGGCATATTTCTTGGATATCCGGAAGGCGTAAAAGGATACAAAATATGGTTAATAGATGAAAGAAAGTGTGTAATCAGCAGGGATGTCAGGTTCAATGAACAAAAGGTCTATAAGGATCTTGAAGAAGAGAAGCAAAGTGCACAAGGAGAGTCTGAAAGAACACAAAACCCAGAAATGGCAGCCATTCCCTTGATACAGACCTCAAAAGAAAACACAGTGGTTAGATTTCAAGGTGGAGCTGATAAGCTGGTCAGTTCACCAAGGAAAAATGACTCACAAGAAGCTGAAAGTGAAACAACTAGAACTGATGACACAGATAAGATGGAACAGAGCTCAGAAACACGGAACTCAGATTCTCTGTCAGATTACCAGCTTGCAAGGGACAGAATGAGGAGAGATATAAAACCACCGTCAAGATTTCAAGAGTCAGAGTTTGTAGCTTTCGCATTGACCTCAGCCAGTGAGATCGAGCTGGATGAACCGAAAACCTTTCAAGAAGCCAGAAAACGAAAAGATTGGAAGAAATGGCATCAAGCTATGGTCGAAGAAATGCAGTCTCTGGAACATAACAGAACATGGATTTTGACTCCTCGACCTGAAAACAAGAAGATAATCGGTTGTAAATGGGTGTTGAAGCGGAAACCTGGTATTCCTGGTGTGGAGGAGCCCAGGTACAAAGCAAGACTGGTTGCAAAAGGTTTTTCACAGGTCGAAGGAGTAGATTACAACGAGATCTTTTCACCAGTGGTTAAACATGTCTCGATCAGAGTGCTACTATCTTTGGTTGTGCATCAGAATTTAGAACTTGAACAGATGGATGTTAAAACAGCTTTCTTGCATGGGAACCTTGAAGAACAAATCTACATGTCGCAGCCTGAAGGTTTCGAAGAGAAAGGGAAGGAGAAAATGGTCTGTTTGTTGAAGAAATCGCTTTACGGATTGAAACAGTCTCCGCGTCAGTGGAATCAGAGATTCGATCAGTTTATGCAGAAGATAGAATACTCCAGAAGTAAGTTCGATTCCTGTGTCTACTTCAGAAAGTTAACAGATATGTCATACATATACCTCTTAATATATGTAGACGACATGTTGATTGCCGCAAAGAATCAAGCCGACATACAGAAGCTGAAGAAGTTGCTTAGCTCAGAGTTTGAGATGAAAGATCTTGGACCTGCGAAGAGAATCCTGGGTATGGACATCTGTAGAAACAGGTCAGAAGGCAGATTGTTTCTATCTCAGCAAGAGTACTTGAACAAGGTTCTGGCAACTTTCTGTAGGATTGTATCTGCAATCCTGAATTCTGGTTTCTGTTTTTCCGCCTGAGCTGAACTTGGAGAAGCCGCCATACCATTCAGAAGGTTTCACAAGAAAAGACGACGTCGCACTGAGCTTGGCGAGATTAAAATTGACAGGGGCACATGGGTAATTTTGTGGTCACTGTTGGGGTTCTAATAAAACCCAGAGAAACGTAGTTGCTGGGATAAGTTCATT